ATAATATATTTTAACCATTTACTAATAAAAATTAATACGAAATTTTTACAAAAAATATTTTTTCATTTCCTAATTTTTTTCCAAAAAATAAAAAAATAAAAAGGAAAACAAATTTTTTCTTTTTTTTTTTTATTTCTAAATTTAATTAACAATTCTTCTCTCTCTCTCTCTCTCTCTTCTTTTTCCTTTCTAATTATGCAATAATCTTATTTGTAGCATAAAAATTTTGAATTTGAATAAAATAAAAAAAAACAAAATTTAAAAAAATATAAATGCAATAATTTCATTACTTTCGCTTTCTTTTTTTTTTTTGTTTTTCTTTTATTATTATTATTAAATGGTTGACAAAATTTTTTTTTTTAATTTAAATTGAAAGCTTACTTTACTCTGTTAATATTCAATTGTCAATGATGTAACATACTTAGAAATTAACCTAACCAATCATAAATATAAGTAAGTATTACTTAAATAATAAATGAAATGATAATTTTTATAATGGACAATATTTTGTTTTTGTTCTATTTGAAAAAAAAAAAAAAAAAAGTAAAAGACAATTTTTCATGCGTCATAAAGCATTATGCGCAATTGGACATTCACCTCTTATCGTCATCTACCGCCATTTTCACTTTATAATAAACCTATTAAATACCATTAACACTGATGAAATTCTTCAGATATTCCGTTATAGCATTTCCGGTTAGTTTAGCTATTTTAGATAGTTTTATACAAATATTTTTCTCTCATCTATCGCTTTTCTTTTTCGGTAACCGTAATTTGATATCAGAAATTCCGGAATTACTGTTAAAAGAAATTGCTTAATTATTATTTTTCATAATTCTTTTTCATTTATATCATTTAACAATTACAATTTCGCTGATAACTTTGTTTTGATTTTTTGGAAAAATTAAATACTACAATATTCCGGTATAGAAATTCCGGAATTATTGCTAAAAGAAATTGCTTAATTATTATTTTTCATAATTCATTGTGATTTATATCTTTTAACAATTACAATTTCATTGATAAATTTGTTCGATTATTACTTTTCATTTATTATTCGAAAACTAAATTACATTCTAAGCAATAAATTATTCTTTCTTTTATTAAATAAAATTTTAATTTTTTCTTTTTTGAAAATTTATGAGTGTTTCTTAATTTTTAGATTTTAATGAACAATTTAAATTTATTAGCATTAATTTTGTTTCACTCAAAATATATTACACTAACACTTTTTTCTTTTAATTTTTAAAGAGAGAAGAAGAAAGAGAGAGGGAGAGAGAGAGAAAGGAGAGAGAGAGAGAGAAAGTGGTAGGAGAGATATTTAAATTTAAGAAAGTTTTAAAAACCTTTAGCTTTAAATAATTTTAGCATTGTGACTGTTTACTGAGTGAACATTTTACTCTTTTCTTTTTTTTATTTTTATTTTTTTGAGCTAATATTTGATATAATTATAAAATTATATTATAAATCCGAAAATACTTTTCAGGTTTGGAACAAAATTCATTTTTAAAATTTTTTTTCAGGATTATAAATAAAAGTATTTCAGGAATATTTTTCATAACTGAAAGTTTTAATTATTATAAAATACTTTTCTAGAATTATTTTTCACTAAAATTATTAAAAAGTTTTCTTCTTTTTTTTTTTTTTTTTTTATTTCAGGATTAATAGTAAAACTATCCTAAAATACTTTTGAGGAGCGAAAATAAAATCATTCAAAAGTGTTTTTCAGGTTTAAATGGAAATAAAATCATTCAAAAATTCGAGATTACGAATAATCCAAGTTGATGCTTTAAAATTAATTCCTGAAATTTAAAAATGTTAAATTCTTGAAATTGTTTAGATGAGGACAAAATAGCCGAGAAATAAGTAATAAAATATTTACTTAATTAATATTTTTATATCATATGTGAAATTACTTTGCAAATTACTTTAGAAAGTTACTTACGAATTACACGTAACACGTGTAAGCACGTGTAAGGAAGAAATTTGTGAAATGAAATTGAAAATAAATAAATTTCTAAACACATATAAAATGAATGATGGAATGTCTTTTTTCTTTTATTTATTCATTTGTTTACTTTTATTCTTCCATATTTTTCCAGAATGTTTCATTAGAATTATGATCTTATCAATCTAATCAATCAATAATCAGTCTATCAATTAATTATGATAAAATTAATTGTAATCATTTAAAAATTATTGAAAACATAGTAAAAAATTATTAAAACAAACAATTCAAATAAACTAAAAATATTGCATTTTTATAAATAATTAATCATTTATCAAATGAAATTTTCAAAATTAGAATTAAGACAAAAATTTATTTACCAAAGAAATATCATAAATTATCAGAAATGTTTAAAAGCTTATAATATTTCAAAAAAAAAGCTTAAAATTAATATTTTTATAACTGATAAATAATACTAAATAATATAACCAAATTCAATTATATTTAAGAGAAAAGTCAAATTTTCAATTTTAAAATGATACTTCAATTTCATATCAAAAACAAATTAGAATTTCAATTTTAGAATATCAGTTCAACTTCTTATTAAAAAAAAAAAAAAGACTCATATTTAAATTATTTATAGCTATAATTATTCAATCTTTTTTCTTATTTTAATTTCTTCCGGTTTCAAAAAAAAAAAAAAAATTAAATATCGTTTTTCATTTTTTACTCATTCAAATTTTTCAAATTTGAAATGATACTATTAAAAAGAATTTAAATAATTATTTGTTTTATTACTTTTTACTTCTTCAATGGCAACATTTATTGCTTACTTTTTAATATAAAGTTGTAACATTTTGAAGCAAAATAAAATTTTCTATTCAAAAAAAAAAATCTCTTCAATCAGTCTTTTTTTTTCTTTTTTTTTTAATGAGAAAATATTAAAAAAAAATCTTTTCAGTCTTTTTTTTTCAAAAAATGATAAGAAAAAATCTTAATAATTTGTGAAAAGTTTTCAAATATTTTGTTGTTTAATATTATATTAAAGTAATACTTAAATTTATTTGGCTATGAAAACAGCACAAAGTGAAAAGTTTTAATTTTAGTCTTATAATCAAGAATTAAGGGTATGAGAAAAAAGTAATAAATAAATTGCATAGAGTTAATTGTTTATTTAGAGTTTGTGTAAAAAATAAATAAAGTGGAACGAATGAATGAACGGAAATGGAAATGGAAATGAAAATGGAAATGGAAAAGTGTATTTTATCATAAATTAATTCGAAAAGAATAATTAATTACTAAATTTATTATAATAAAACTATCATTCACAATTAGTTCGCCGAAGAAATTACTTAACACTTTACTATTATTAAAAAGCACAAATTCACTTTTCATTCTATTAAAAAAAAAAAAGATTTAAAAAAAAATTTTTTCTAAAATATTTTAAATTTTGAATTTAATCATTTCAGCTTAAGTTGAAATTATTTTTAGGATTTATAAAGTAAATTATGAAAATATTATAAAATTTATCATTTTTCCTTTTTTTTTTTCTAATTTTATGAATTAAAAATTAATAGGTAATTTCAGGTTTTTTCATTAATTTCAGTATTTCTCAAATACCAAAATTAGAAAATGAATGAAAAAATTTAATCAAAAGATATTTTACTAAATATTATGATATTAAAATAAATATTAAAACGAAGATTGCTGATAAAAGTAGAGTAAATCGAGAAAATAAAATGAAAATTGAAAAAAAAAAAAAGGAAAATTTACTATATTTTTTTTCCTTTTAATTTTTGACAATAATATTTATATTTTGTCATAATTACTAAAATTTGAAATTAATTTCTTACAAAAATAAAATACAATTTAAAAACTATTTTAAATTTCAATTGCAAATTAAAATTTGTTATGATAATATTTACATTTTCAATAAATAATACTTTTTTGTTTTTATTTGAATTTTTTGTTTTTTTAATTTCTTTTAATTTTAGAATCATAATTATTCATCGTTTAAATTTTTTTTTATCATTTTTTTTTTTTTTTTCATTCTTCTTTTTTTAAATCATAAATTTCAGTTCATTTTTCACTTTTTTTTTCTTTCACTCCATTTTTCTTTTTTTTTTTCAAAAAAAAAAGAAATTGATGAAAAATTTCACTTTCAAACTTTATGTTTTAATACAATTTCATTAAAAAAAAAAAAAATATAAAATTAATTAATGATCTATGATTTATTATTAATTATTTTTCATTTTCCTTTGTGAAAAAAATAAATTTTATTCATCTTAATGCATTTGTTATTTTCAAAAGTTTACTTTTTGATTTTGTTTTAGTCTTCTTTATAAGACTGAAATTAAACTATTCGTTAAATTGAGTTTTTGCTAAATAAACAATTCATTTTAATTTCATTCTTTCTTCGTTTCTCTCACATTTTATTGTTTGGAATGAATAGAAATTTAATTAAGAATGTGTTAATGGTTTAAGTTAGACTTTTAATTATGATTGTTATCGCAATTCAATTCATTTTAAAATGTAATTATTCAATGTTGCTTTATGCTTTTATTTATATTATAGTTTTTTTTTTTTTTTTCGTTTTTTTAATTTGCTTTTTATTTATTTATTTATTTTTTGTTTATGTTTGACTAAAAAGTTTTTATTTATTATATCAGTTAAATATTAGAAATAAATATATATCTTTTTTTTTTTTTCGCTTTCCTTCGTTTTTTCTCAAGTATTATGTTAATAAACAAATTTTAATTTGTTTATTTTTGCTTATATTTCATTAAAAAGTTTTTATTAATTATATCAGTTAAGTATTAAGCATAAATATATTTTTTCCTTTCCTTTCCTTCGTTTTTTTTTTTTTTTTTTTTTTTAGTATCATATTATATTTTTAGTAGTAATTAAATTTTAATTCGTTTTTCTTTTAATTGTATTTCATTAAAAAGTTTTTTTTCTTTTTGTTTTAAAAATTATTCCATATTTTAATTTAAAAATTAATTTTTCTTTTTTAGCAGTACAACAAAATCATATTATCATGCTAAAAAATCAAATGCCATCTGTACCAGCATTATTAACAGTAATAATGATGATAATTTATGGTGGTGTGGAAGTAGTGAAATGTTTAGAAATGTTTGAAAATGATCCCGAGAATGTTGATCGAGAAATTCGAACATTGTGCAGTCTTAATCCAACTTTTAATATTTGTGCTGGTTAATTTTTACTTTTCTTTTTTCATTTTAATAATAAAAAAAAAAGAAAAAAGAGTAGCGTAGTTTATTTCTTTTTTTTTTTTTAATTGTAGAATCATCCAAATTATTAATTAATGAACGATAAATTTTTAGAGAGAACTGATTTAATTTTCATTTTTTAATAAAAAATAATTATCGATTTAAAAAAAAAAAAACAAAAAATTTTCCCCCAATTATTAATTAGTTAATTAATTAATGATTAAATTTTTAGAGCAAGCTATGGATAAACGAAAGTCAAGTTATATGCGCTTCGGACGATCATATCCTGCTATTCTAGAAACTGAACCACATTTGAGTGAGAAGCGAAAGAGTGCATATATGAGGTTTTCTTTTCTTTTTTTTAATTTTATTTTTTAAATTTTATTCTCTTTGTTTGTTTAAATTTTAAAATTAAAATTAATTTTTGTTAGCATTTCCTAATTTATTAGCAGCAAAAATTTTAGATTTGGAAAACGTTATGTAGATTTCAATGATTATGTTAAAAGAAAATCAGCATATATGCGGTATTGCTTTTAAATTATTATAAGAAAAGATTTGAAACTGTGAGAAGAATATTTGAGAAAAATTTAGCTAAATGAAATTGGATGAAAAATTTTTCTTTCTTTCTTTTCTTTTTTTTTTTTTTTAAAGTTTAAAAAATAAATTACTGAGAAAGAATTAATTTTCTCTCAGTTCTCTTTTCATTATTTTCATCTTTAATACGATATATTTTATTGTAATAATGAAAAGTAATATTTAATATTTAATAATAAAATAAAATTTATGAAAAAATAAAAAAAAAATAAAATTTAATAAAATAAAATAAAATTAATCTATGAAAATCATATAATCATTATTACCTTATCATGATAAAAAAATCTTATAATAATTATTATCGAATCCATTACCTTTTTGTAAATATTCAGCAAAATATCAAAATGTTTACCTATAAAGTTCTATTTTAAAAATGGCACTTTTTTTTTTTTTCACTTCGTTTAAAAAAAAAAGAAAACAAAATTTTGCTAACTAAGAATGAATCATTTTGATGAAATTAATCTCTTTTAGATATTTTTTATATTATTTTGACTAATATATTTAAGCGTATTTCAGATTTGGTCGTTAAGAGGAAAAAAATGAAGAAATATAAATTCAAATTTTCTTCTTACACAATTATTTTGTTTACATAACATTATATTTCCATAATGTTTTCTTATGTTTAAACAGAATTATCCTATTGCTCCTTGTTCTTTGCTAATAATTTTATATGTATTCATTGCACAGTTACTTAACTGCTAGAGTTAATTTACTTGAAAAACATCAGAGATTTCAGAACTCAAACAAAGAAAGCAAGAAAGAAAAAAAAATGCATAATAAATATAAATATCATAATATTTATATATTATTATTAATAAGAATTTTTATTAGAAATTTTAATAAATAAACAAACAATACAAAACTTCAAAACTTCGATTAAATTAAATAATTTCATAACAGTTAAAACAAACAATTGCTATGCTACAAACTTTCATGAATTGAGATACATCACATCCTGATTGCCATGCTATCCAGATAACATCAAAAAACTATAAAATGAACAAACTTTTTACCAATTCAGCAAAAAATAACAAAACAATTGAAAAGAAAAAAAATCAATAATGCTAATTAAAGTGAATTCCAGATGAAATTTATTATCAATTTCTAATTTAAGTTTTATAAGCCTAAGTTGATGAAAGTGATGATAATGATGTAAAAGAGGTTTAAGTAGTATTTAACAGATAAACTTTCAAAAGAAAAAATCATTAACTTTTTGTTCAGTTGTTTAAAATATTTTTTTTTCAACAAATAATCAAGATTTAAATAATGATAATCAAGCTATTACCTCTAACAATGATCAGAGAACTTCTTCCAGCTATCTTTACTAGTCTTTCTTGCACTAAGATCCGATATCATTTGCATAATGTTTGCGTACAATCTATAAATTAAAATTAGCATTTTTAAGCTATATGAAAGATTAATTAAGTTAATTAATTAAGCTAATTTAAGATGTTATAATAAAAAGAAAAAAATACACTCTATCTGCCTCCTCAATTTGTCGACGAATTTCCGGTATTTCCCATGCTTTTAACCAATATTTTATTGCTTGATTATTTAATTCTTCAGATTCACCACCATCAAAACTTTTCTCATTTAGCTCAGTGCGAGGATTATCTATAATAAAAGTAGTAAATAAAATATATTACTGTTAAAAGGAATATTTATCTAAAGAGCTATTCAAGAAATTATCTAAATTCCAAAAAAAAAAAAAAAAAGAATCCGACTTGATAGAAATTTACTCAATAGCTTCCTTTTTGTGATAAATTTTTATTGAAAGATAAATATTTGCATAAGTTTGTTTCATTTTGTCTAAATTTTGTCAAAAAAAAAATATAAAAATTCAAGAATATTTAACGCAATATCTCGGAATATCTTTCACTATTATTTTAAGTTGATTATTCACAATTGTTTTATTCATCATAACACTTAAACAAATTGAATTGAAATGCAAATTAATTAAAAGTATGAATTTGTAAATAAAAAACAAAAAACAAACAAATAAAACCTCGCATGTTAAATTCATCATTGCCATTGCTATATTCTGTCGAATTAAACTGGAGAATATTAGGCTTAACTGTGCCAAAAGCTGGCTCTTTCAATGGATCATATTCTTCTTCCTCTTTCATATTTTCCATATTATAACTGCCATATGCATCATTATTATAAGAAAAATCTAAAAGACTAATTCTAAGGATTAATTTTATATTTAATTCAGGAATATTTCTAATATATAAATACTCCCACATATTTATATATGAGAGAAAAAAAAAAACATTAAATAATTCTTTAGATACATAGAAAGAAAAAATTGAAAAAAAAAAAAAAAAAGAAAAAGAAATATTAGTTAATGTCAATTTTAAATGTCCCACTAATGTCTTTTCATGAATTTCACTTCAAATGTTGCCTTTTTTTCCTGCCTTCTATCCTAACATAGAAACCATCTTTCAGGGCTAAACAGATTTTTTTTTTTGCAGAATAAGAAACTAACCCGAATAAAAGCTATCGTCAATTTCCTGAAATATAATCATTATTGAGGAACACTAATAAGATATGGGATTTAAAATTTAAAAATTTTTTAACTCTCTCTTTCTCATACTTTTTTCTTTCGAAAAGATATCGTTAGCAACGAATAATTAACTTTTACATTTTTTCATTTGAAAATACATCGTCAGCAGAGTGGGTAATTAATTAATTTACCTTCTGAGAAGTTCCGGGTAAATCGGATGGAAAATCTGATCGTTGTTGTCCACTTTCCTGAAATCAATAATTAAACATAATGATAAAGTTAACTGATAATGCAAAATATTATTATCATATAAACAATAACTACTATCATAAAAATCTATCTATATAATTTACTATAGCATTTGAGAAATGATTATTGATAGTGCTAGTGAATGAATAAATGTATGCAATAGAAATTTCTGATTACTGATAGATCATAATGAAAATTTACAATGAAATTGAAATGAAATGTTGAAATAACATCTTTTGAAGAAATCAACTCTTCAAAATCAGGAATGGAAGGATGTTAAAAAAAGATAGAGAGAGAAAAAAAGAAACAAATTTCTAATATTTTTGAAATGATTAATAGATGACTGATTACTGATTACTGATAGTGCTAAAGAATCAATAAAACACAGAAATCTCTGAAAAGAAAAATTATAGCATTATCGGCTTTTACAGCAAATGCTTCAATGTTTGATCAAAAAAACTAAGATAATGCAAAATAACAAATTGTCATTATCATTTTTCAGATCAATACACATTGTATTAATGTGTCAATTTTTTAACATCGTTTTATGTTTTAATATTTGTTTGAAAGAAAGTTTAATAACAAATAGGAAAAAAAAAAAAAAAAAAAAAAAAAAAAAACTTACGGTGGAATAACAATTATCATTTATTTCAACTTTTGCATTGCATCTATCATTTTCTATGGATGCAAATTCCTCAGAAGTATTAACATTTGTATATGAAAAATTGTCAATCGAAGATGAATGTTCCATGAATTCTACATATCCCTATAAATTAACTTAACTTAGCAGAATTGTATATATTATAAGCTTTACCAATTCCTAATCAATCTTTTCAAATTTTAGATACTTTACAAGATAATTTTCATTTCATATCCTCTTTAAAACCAAAAAAAAAAAATTATTGTAATCAATAAAAATATCTAACAACTTTGCTTACTCCAATAACTGAAGGTGGGCATCTTTACTGGACTATAAAATATTTACAGAACAGAACATGATTGTTATTTTTTTCTGACCAATAATTGCTTCAATGAATGATAAAGATTCACAGCAAAAATACATGGTCAAAATTTGATTTGTAGTAAAAAATTCCCATCAAATTAAAAAATTTTTTTCTCGCTTATGAAATTTAATAACAAAAAACAGAAAAGCAAATAGTAGCAGCAGAAAAAAGAACAAAAAAAGAGTTTAAATTAAAAAAAAAAAAAAAAGTGAACAAACCTCGTTCACCACACCAAATACATGCCAAACAGCATTAGTTCGTTCAGATGCCATTATTTTGCAAATAAACAAAGATAAGCATCGATTGCAGTAATCTTGTCGAAATCTATTTGGACTGAATTCCACCGCTCCAAGTATTTCAGTTTCAAGAGTTATTTCACCAGTTGGATAATATTTTAAATTATCAATTGCAATAGTCGTCGTAATTTCTACCTAACAAAAATTTTAAGGTTTTAAGCAATCAAATATCATTAGCAACATATTCCATTATTAAAAGAGTTTTTTTTTTTTATTATTATTATTATTTTTGTTGGCTTTAAAAGGAGCTAACAATGAATGGTAGTTGTCAAACTATTTATTCAATGTATCAGAAGCAAACAATAATTCAAGTAATAAATATGAGAAGTCGTATTAGTAATCTTCATCCTTGGTAAACAATTTAGAATTTTTAAATCAAAATTAATAAAATAAAAGCAAAAAAAAAATTTTTTTTCGACAGTAAAATTAACCTGAACTGTGTTATTGAAGGCTTTTGCCGGAAGTATTGGTTCAATTATTTCAAATTTCTTCCCTTGTAAATGACAGCCAAGATAAGAAGATCTAGATGGTCTGAAAAGCAACTTTTATTTCATTAAAGATTCTAAACTACAAAAATAAATATTTATACGTAAATATATTACAAAAAAAAGAAAAAAAAAAACATCATGTCTCATTCCTTTCTGATTACAATACAATAACATGTAAACAAATACTACGTAACAATCTCCCGGAAGAGATTCACGATTCAAACCGCTTATATGCTAGATATACGAATAATCATTTACACTATATTAGTTGATAACTTCTAGAATAATATAAGTTATTTCATTTCAATACCCTTCAAACGTTCAAACGTAAGATACAAATCATCGAAATCGTACTGATTCACAAAAATATTGTAATAATGAGATGAGAAACAAATTTCAAATACACTTACGTGCAGTTAAATCGAACCCAATCACCAACTTTCATCCCTTTACGAGCACCCAGAAAAAACACAATTTCACTATCTGGTATTGCTAAAGACCATACTTTTGCGCTTGAATCATGTACCGCTATCACTAAGCCTTCGTAATTATCAATGTACTGCAATAATTCATTTTTTTTTTTTTTTTTACATTTTAAATTTAGTATATAAAGAATCCCGAAACTAATCCATTGTAACTAAACAACTAAAAAACGTTACATAACGGTAGTAAAGTTTAATAAAACAGACTAACATTGGTACTATTCGAAAATCATACACAAAATTATTTACTGATTAAGCTGTCAAATATTGCTACAAAAAATTATTAAAGTTTTTTTTTTAAAAAAAAAGAAAGAAGGAAACTTTTTTCAATGATGCAACGAAATGACGTGAAGTATGTGATGCTTTTTGCTTCATTTGTTGCGAACAATCAGAATAAGATAAAATTCTGGAAAGCTGAGTGCTATTTTTACAATTCCATGGCTAAATATAGAATAAATTTTTATTGAACTTAAACTTAAATATCACAACTGTAAGATAATATAT